AAGAAAAGTGAGGAAAAAGAAAAACAAAGTTTAAAGACGACGAAGGATGATTGAGGAAATGGATTATCAGAACGGAAGTTCCTGTTCGCCATTTCGCGGTTTCACGGTAACGTGCTCTGGAGGTGTCCAGAAAAAGTGACCAAGTGACAGGGTGCAGACGTTGCTGGATTCTACGAATAGAAACAGGCCTTTGTCGATTTCTTGGGAACCGGCTGATTACCGTAAGACGTCGCCACTGTCTTCTTCGTCTTGGCGAACGGTCGTAGACGCACGCAGAGGTAGATCGAGAGGATGCACGAGGCCAGGAGGACGGCGAGAAGTACGATGAGAGTAACGGCAAAGCCTGGGGTGGTCATGCAGATGAGCGAGGAGCCGGTTGCACTGTCCTTCACCGGAAATACCATAGTGGCTCCAGGCGGGTCGTTGTTAGATTCGTCAATGGCGAACGTGAGGTCACCGGTTGAGACTACGCGTATAATACGATTAACCCCGACTGCTTTTTGCGGAGTGGCTATGACCTCTCGTGATTTTCTACGACGTTCGTCCCGAGGTCGACCAGCGGCAGCCTGTAGATAAGCTTCAAGAGGAAGAGGCAAAGGCGGCGGGAAACCGTAGCTGGAATCCGGATGTGCGTTCGATTGATCCTCGAGAAGTCCCGCGTGCGGATCCAAGAGAGGTGCCGATTCTGAACATTGTTCGGGACACTGATAACGGCATATCTGTATGGTGCACTGGAAATGAACTTCCATGGAGTCCGGAAACTTGAAGGCCTGGAAGTGAGCGTAGGAGAGTACGGAAGCACTGGCGCCGAAGTTCTTGATCTTGGTGAACCTTGACATCAGCTTAGGCCTAGTTATGCAGCCCTTCTGATCGACCAGTTGAATCGGGGCCCTCTTCCCGTCATGCGCCATGCAGTTACGAACGAGCATATCGAACTTGGAGTCGTCATCCTTAATAGCCAGGACCATGGTCATCGTCTGACCAATCTTGACCAGACCGGATACCTCGGAAGCCCAAGGCCCTTTGCCGACCTGGATCTGCATCCAGCATCCCACGTTGTCGCCCGCGAAATCTGCACGGACCACGTCCAGCATGTCGACTGGGAATGGCCGGAATGTGACGGACTTCTCGTAGAGGTCGTGCCAGGTGCAACGTAGCTTCCTTGCCTGGTCCCAGACCTCCTGCACCTGGGGATCGTACTGGACGACGATGATGTTCTCGAAGTAAGTGCCTGATCCAGATTCAGCGCCGTACCCGTAAAGTCCGTTTTCAGTGTTACCGGCGGTACCGCAAGCGTGTATACTGATCTCGAAGTTCACGGACGTCCTGCCGAGGCCGGCGGGCAAGTGGACGCAATTGACGTTACTGTAGTGACCCTTGCTGAAGACAATGCCGTAGAACGGTTTGTCAAAACCGAGATACACCTTCATCAGGTGTTTCTCGCACTTGACGTCAAGTGAAATGATCTTGGGCATATCCGGCGTGGGAGCAGGCCACGGTTCCCCGCTCACCTCGTTGCCAGTGGTGTAGATCTTGTCCATGGCTTCCGGTTGCGTCTTTGACGGCAAAGGCGGCGGCGGTCCGTGATAGGCCACGTTGTGATGAGGTCGCGAATGGGGTGAACCACCAAGACCTCCACGGCCCGGTGGCAAGGAAAGAGGATGACCTCGAAGACCGCCAGGCTTGTAATGACCTCCACCGGCATCATTCTCCCCCATTGACTCCAGAGCCAACTGATCCGAGCCACTTATATCCGCATCCTGACGGTTCAAGCCTGAATTCTCGTTCCTCTTGTCCTCCCCAGGAACGGCCTCTATCACCTCCACATCTTCGCCGCGAGTCAGCTGCAATCAGAAAATTCGACCATGTTCACAGTCCCGTCTGACACCTGCATACCTCCGTACACTTGGCAGGTACCTACGTAACAGGCCTATAGAACCCATACGGCAAGATTTAACGTGAACGTGACGCGTATCGCGATCAGGATGTTATTTGAGGTTAGAACGATAATCACGTAGTGCTTAGAATCCTTAGTTAGGTATTCCGTATCGGTGTCGAGGAGTCATCCGAGTCCCCGACTACATCGCGTCCGAGATCGATAACGTTTATTGACCGCTTGGGTCTGATCGGTCCCAATAATCAAAGAAATCGTGCAAACAATTGCCCGGCGCGTTTCGCGTCTTCTCTGGGTCACTTAAATAATGCCGCGTCTCCATCCAGCCGTAGAATAAATGGGAACGCGGCTACAAATTATTCCAGTCCTGAATACCAAGAAAAATTGGTTTGATCGTTTCGCTCGTCACGAAAAGGGGAGCAAGTGACTGGTGGGGTCCACGAATCAGTCCCTCCCGAGGATTTACAAGCTGGGCCCAGATGCCGCTCTTAACCATACATCGTAGTGGGCCTTCTCTACCCCCTGATACGTACGTGTAAACGCGCCTTCCTGTCGCGACGGTACTCATACTTTACTCAATGACTGTCCCAGTCGCATTCCAAGTTTTCGCATCGATTTCAGTACGCGCCATTAACAAACCTGCCCAGACTCTTCGAGGAATGACGAAGGGAGAGGCCCCGTGCGGAATAGGAGCATCGTCGCGGGGACCTCGTGGTCGTGCAGGATTGCGTCACACGTGACCCTCGGGCATAACGGGCCACCCGTGTCTTTAGCCGCGGGTCAATCGGCCAGTAACTGCTTCGGATACTCCTCGCTCCCACCTTTTCTTCTTTCCTTCAGAGCCTTCTTTTCCTTCCTTCTCGTCCTTATTCTCCTCGTTCTCCTTCTTCCATGGGACTACGTGCAGGGAGCCAGTACCGCCTCCTTAGATCCGGGCCCGGTTCTCGTCATCGTAGGACATCGAGGAGACAGTGACGTCACGCATCTAGATATTTATTTCGGACAGCCCAACGTAGACCAGACCTCATCCGCCATTAGGTGGACATTGGACGGGAGGCAAGCAAACGACCGGGATCGATCGGGTCGTAAATTCTAATCACATCTGCCTCGATTTCGTCTCTTGCTGGGACGCGTGTGAACGTGGGGAAGGAAGAAAAAAATTTGAAACTACTGGATAACCGGCATCGCCATACATGCCGGGAGCAAACGTTACGTCGGCGCAAATGGCGGATTGGCCGGATCAGAGCGAACACCATTTCAAGGCACAGCCAGGCCTGTAGCCCTTAGCTCTGGGTCAGAGCACTGGGTAACGGCATTGCGTAGCGAACGTGATATCTGGGTTATAATGTGGTAATTACTCGTGCCGAGTACCAACCTACCCTCACGAGATCATCCGAGGTCGACGGTATCACTCTTTTTGAATGAACCGTCGAGCTGGGCAATTTATTTATTTTTTCAGATTCTTCATAGAAATTCACACTTGGATCTTGTATATTGTTGTTACGTATGCATATATTTGATTTTTTTTCTATTTCTTTTTTTTTTTAATGAGAATCGTGTCTAAATTAATGTCACTTACCCCCTTAAGGAGGAGACAGGCTAGTATGAGGATATGCAACCGCATTCCGCGTTAGGTTCCACGGTGAGGCACTGAGGGCGCTGAAACAAAAGAAAATTTCAAAAAATTTGTTTCTCACCTACTACACAATCATCATTTTCATTTTCGTAATCGAGACTTCAGGCTGATTGGACGAGTCGATGAGAGTCACTATTATTTCTTATGGTATACATTTTTTAGACGTTTGGAATCCTGGAAGATTGTCCCTCCAGGCTGAGACGGTCAGACTGGACGAGACTGTGTAATCTCGTCTTAATCTGTTTAATTGATTGTAGCGACTGACAGAGGAATAAAAATTATTCCATTTGACGGGCAAGCTCTTGCCTGGAGATCTGTTCATTTTTACGAACGCTCTAAACCATAACGTGGGTAACGTTCATAGAATGGAAAATAACTGTCTCCAGTGTCATACATTAAACATATATGTATCATAATTCTAGGTCTTCGGCACAGTCATTCGGTAGACGTGAATGAGTTATGGCAATTTGAATGAGTACGTCAGCCTGCTTATTTTCACAAATTATATTACCCCATTTCATCTACCTACTTTTCTACATAATATACCTACTCGTTACATGCACTCATATACACAGTAAACTGTTGCATCGCGAAGCACCGGGTATTCCAAGATGTTAAAGTGTCACGAGAATTTAATTGCACTGCATACAACTAACCCGAGCTCAGATTAAAAGACAAGGTATTACTATAGGCAAAGCGACCTCCAAAGCGGAAGTGACGTCACCACTTTCCATAATGCACACACGCGCAGCACCGAAGAGATGCAGTCGTAGCATCCCTCCTTCTAATGCAACGGCACGATGACCTGGTGGACCAAGTCCGTTAAACAAAGTGTTCCGACCCGGCTGGAACGTGTCTGCAATAATAAATACTAAAAAAAGGCCGGCACACTCGGCAATAGGTACGTTGGGTAAATTTTGAAAATTAATCCATACCGTTAATTTTTCTACTGCTTCTCCATGCATAGATTATTGAAAGATAATAATTAATGATTTCCCTTCGGAATTGGCGAGAGAACATTTTTATAGTCCCGACAGATTTAACGATCGGAATATCTAATGAGTCACGAGAGCGACGAGGACGAAACTATAAGAACGTAACCTAGAATATAAATCTCATTGAAACTGTTTAGTTTATAATGTATAGCACCGTTTTAGAAATTTTATTCATGTATTTCGAATATACGTTACTCGATGGCATGCATGATTTAGATATGTATATATATCCACGTGTATATATATATATATACAAGTTACTAGGCCCTCAGGAATACCTGTCCCAAATTCCATGCGATATCCGTGTTTATTTCTTCTCTCCCGTTATATATACTTCGCGAAGAAGCACGTTTCGTATAAATCTCCGATACATATTGGTCACGGGTCATTAATTCGATCTTCAAGTATTTAGCTCTCCAAGCTAAAGAGACAGCGCGATTCTATCTTATTGAAAAAGCCTAAGAAATGCAGCTGTCACGCGTGCGGTACAACAGTCTCGTCTCGGCGCATGCGCAGCGCGTGTAGTTGCCTGCGCATTGCAAAGTCGGTCAGTGGTGCCAACGGAAATGCAAAATTCATGAAAGAGGAACAACAGTGCATCCCTTTCGTAAGAGACCTTCCTTCGCGGAGAAAGAGAGAGAGAGAAACACTGTAAAAGCATTAATCCCGTCCAGCTGGCACAATATGTAGGCAAGTAGGCAAAGAGACGCCGACATTCGACACCGTTTATACCGGCAGATCCGCCGTTTAAAATCTACAGCCAATGAGAGACTCGACGTAATCCCACGGGACTTTGTCATTGGTCGATTCTAACCACGTCTGGCGTAATTGGCATATATTCAGGAAGCAACGGTGTCAGTTTGTTTTTTAAAAGTAAAAGAATCCCAATACGACACAGTTGGCTGACCGTCAACTTTTATCAAGTTTAAATTCAACAGTCACACAGAATGGCGTCTTCCTTTCGATGTACACAATTTTGTCGTTTCCCATAGAGCTTACCTATGCGATATCAATAAGTTACAGCATTCATTTCCGTGCCACTAACTCTCTAAAAATGCCTCGGGCTCTCCACGTGCGAAACAACAAACGCAAAGCTGTTACCGCCCCGTTGGACCTTAGACTCCCATAGCAATTGCTGGGTCACTCGTGTTAAATATTATCCCATACAAAATGTCGATTACCAAACAATGCGGACGTACGTACCTGTGTCATATATATGTGACCCATAAATAATAATAACAGCTACACCAAGTACCAGCATCTCTTAACTAAAATCTCAGATATAAGATAAAGCTAAGTGGATGCTGCACAAATGTAGCCAGACCTGCAACCGTTCCCACAACATATACATATATATATCCATTATGAAAGTCATCGAGATGGAAAGTAGTTGATTAAACCTCATTCTAAGTATTAAAAATGAAATATAAAAATCGCACAAAGCACAGATCACAATATGACAAATAATTTTATTTAATCAGCCTCAATCACAAGTATACTGATAGTCAACATTTTTTCAATGGTTATTTATAATTACGCTATATAATTAATCATCCTTTGATTCTACCATCTAATCAGATACTAATCATCTCTCTCTCTCTCTCTCTCTCTCTCTCTCTCTATATATATATATATATATATTATTTTTGTAAAAATAATCTTTCCACAGTCGTCATTAGTAGTGACTAGCACGTTAGTGGTTAACCGCTAACCTTGAAAATAGGACAGAAAAAGATAGTGGCTCATTGCCAAATACATATAACGGTCCCATTGCTCGTGGTAAATCCTGAACCAAGTAACACATATGTACAATACGTATGACGATTGCGTACCTAATGATGACCCCTATGGAGATCCTGGCCTTTCTTTCAGGTGTACCAATGAAATTATCATAATCATTCCGTGAGCGTATAGAAAAAAAAAATCAACATTCAATATACCATACTGATTAGCCGATGACCTGAAATACCTCTTTTGGAATTCCTGCAGTGGGTTCGAGACACCCTGTATGACATACTGAAATGGAAATTTTCGTTTTACCTGTTCTGATTAGATAAGACGCGCATAGTCTGCTGACAATTGTCTCAAAGGCAACAAACCATGTACCGACAATGAGAATCACAATGATTTTATGCTAATGATGGTTATTATCACTCACTGTGACTCATATCATATTCCATCTGTCAAACGTGCCACGTGGTAATGTTTATGTCATTGTTTGTGCATTTATTTATGCTTGTCTCGATTGAGTTATGCTGCTGTGTTTAAGAGCCTCGTAAAATGTCCCCTATTGGTTTTCTGATAGGTTGTAACGATTTTAAGAGTTACGACGAAGGGACGTTAGCTCGGTATGGCTTTTATTATTTCATACCGATTGTTTGTGAATGTGCTGTGCTTTCCTTTTTTTATGTACTTCGTACGAGTTCAAGAGTTCATATACGTGTTACTTACGCAGGCTCATGTTGGATATGTAGTATAGGTATAGTCGGTTCGAAGATACTCACCGTGGAAATGGTGAATGAATATTCGTTATATATGGCAGTTCAGCGAACTCTTTACAAACCGAGTGTATTGTCGGTGGTAAGGAAATTTGGTATGGGTCGACGGCAATAACCGGTTAATTTTACGAATTTAATACGGTTACGGTACAGGGAATGAAATTTATGAGACTTTTGGAAATGGATTGTCAAATTAACCAAATTTTTTCGGCAATCGATCAGTGATCTAGAAGTGTTTGAATTGATTGTAATATTTTTTTTTATCGTTAACTTTGACTTACCAGGTGTGGATTAGATCGGTAGGAGAAACCGGTTTTACGAGACGCAGTTTAAGTACCGGTTAGGAATAGTTATAAGTAAATATTGATAAATGTCTGAAAAGACCTGTAACAGTGTCCCGGTTAATTTACACGTGTGACAATTTGACTTGTAGTATTTTTTTTGGTATTACGGTAACGTTACGTCAATATTTAATTTGAATTGAGAATTTCAAAAATTTCATCTCAGCCTCTTAGGAGAGTCCGGTACCCAGGAATCCCATTACTGTCACTTTATAACATATACTTTCGACTAAATTAAAGAAAGACCCTTACAAAAAGTAATTGCCATTAAGTATTCCGACATATTTAATTGATCGATCTTACTGTACTGCTAGTATTGCCAAAAAAAAAGAGAAACATTTTTTTTTCTTTAACATTGACCCGTAAGTAGGTCAAAGATAATCTCAGTATATCGAGCTATTTGCAAGAGAGGCCCACCGTGGTAATATTGAGGTTGAGTCGAGAGAGAGAGAGAGAGAGAGAGAGAGAGAAAGAAGATTGGCAAGTTAAAAAAAAAGATATTGAGAATAAAAAAATCGTATACTCTAGCCCGAAATATATATATATATATATATATATATATATATATATATATATACCAACATTCATTTCCTGGATGTTCCCCAAAGATGACCTCGACCTGAATGATCTTCATTTTGCACACGAAGAACAGGATCAATAATTAGTAAGAAAAAAAAAAACACAAGATCTTACATCGATCAGACTTATCATTTATTTAAAATTTCGATCTCATTTGCCTCCTGTGGTTCGCGCCGAAGAACCGATCGAAATTTAAAAAAAAGTAGGTCAACCGCAACGCTACGGACGAAGCTCGTTATGGAGAATCCGCAAGTGAGCGATTCGAACCCTTCGACCGAAGGATTTAGATTGGGCATGCTTGAAAAAATATGAGCATCCAGTTTCCAGCATCGATCAAGCACCGCTGCCTTCTGCGAATCTTGGTCCTAACGAGACGAGACTAACCGGCCGTATCCGATTGGAAAAGAGCCACCACGTGGTTACCTAGCATAACGTGCTAGCATACCGCTAACGTGACACTATATACATATATAGTACAGACCATGTGCATCGAATAACACGAGTACGTAAGCACGGACTGTTTACAATGCACTGCAAACTATTTATAATCACGAATAATGCAAGTGCAATTCAGATACAACTCAGACACTGGATATCTTAATCAGTTCTAATTACATAAATGCCTGCGTGATATCAATTAAGATGCACTTTCCAGTAGGAATACGTTACTCGGTACAGGCATAGGAGAATGAACGGTCTTGCGAGCAACACCGTGGAGAAAATACATAACCAATAAGATGAAGAAAATGAATAAAAAGTGACGTCTCGATGAAAAATGATAGCATAAATAAATATAACGTGTATAAATGAAATACCTTATATCGTCCTGGGAATTTGAGTAACGTTGTTGTCCGACAGCCCTTTGGGCACAAACCACAGTATGTCACAATGTCCACCAGAGGGTCGGAACGGGACGCGGCACTTTGACACCGGGTTAGGGGGGTTAGGTTAGGAAGAATCTTACGTTAACGATTCTCGATGATCCAAACGTCTCGCGTTCTTTCCAATTTCTCTGTTACTCCAAGACAGCAGTAAGATCGATCTAACAAACTTCTTGAGCGAGATGACTCGCGGTAGCTAGATGATGTGAGTTAAGGTGTACGCGAGAACTCGTGGAGTCGGAATGGAATACACCTGTCCGATATACAGAGTATACTATAACGTGGGGGTCCGCCCCCTGACCCAGACACGCCGGTACAGTTATATAGGTCCCTCACTCACTGAGATATCTCCTTATTCACTACATCGTCGGCGGTCCTGGTTACTGTTGTCTGGTGGTGTACGCCGCCATTGCCACCACCGACACTGACGCTCCCGAAGCTGCTGACGGAGATGCTGCGGTATCGTCTGTTACAGTAAACCAAACCTCTTCGATGATTCGTGGTTACTTGTTTGGTAAGATCAAAGCTTGGTCTATCGATATTGATACGTAATCGATTCCACCCTCTTTTTGTCCGATCACACAGCCCCCCCCCCCAGCCTTACTACTAGTCAGGATTTTCCTTTTTGGTTGGTACGATCACGCGTTCTCGGGGTACCCCTGAATTCGAATTTCTCGACTCGTAGTAAACCTGACACGGACGTGTACCCTGTTGAGAAAAAATGGTGGGTGACATGATTTTTGAAAATTTTATTATGGAGAAGGAAGTTGGGTGGTGGAGTTTCGAATTTTTCATTATTATATATTCTTTTTTTTCTTGTTACCATTTCTTATTTTTATATACATACAAGGTATTTTAATCACGTATAAAGCTTGATTAAGCAATTATCAAAGTTGTAATTTATCATTTATATGGTTTTTTTTTCAAACCTGTACATTTTACTGATTTACTATTTTGTCTTACGAATTTTTTAGGAGAAAAAATTGCGCTTTTTTTTTAAATCTCCGAGACCGTCATTCTCATTCGGATGAACGAACCGAACGACCGACTGACCGACCGACCGAATGGCGCGCATGTGACTGACCTATAGATGAGCTCGTACGTGTTTTCGATGCTTCATTTACGGTGATGATGATGATAATGGTGGATCAGGTGGTCTCAGACTGGCTGGCTGTGTTTTTACAGGCGCCTTAATCAGCTTGGCTATTATAGCGATTAATTCCTTTACTTATCCAATTTATGCTACGACGTGGTAGATTTAGCCTCGGGTGGGTATCGGCGTTCAGGTACCAGATATCCACCAGACGGATGTATGGATGGATGGGATATAGATCGTGGGGTAATAAACTATTGAGAATCAAAGATCTCGCGTGATCGTTACAGATTTATATTTCCGCGTGATGATAACCTAAAAAACACAGACACATTTCAGTTGCAATTAATACATTGTCGGTACACACTTCCTGTTTGTTTTATTTTCTTTTTTTCTTTTCTTTCTCTTACTCCCTCTCTTTTTTACAATACACGGTTACCATTTAGATCACAAAGAATTATTTTGTGCACGTCCTGTGTCGTTATGGCAATCATCATTATCGCTAAGCGTTTGCGCTATGCGATTAAAAATATTTACAATTGCATTTACAACAAAGTATCGAGACTCTCACTCTCCCTTTCTTCGTATTCTTCTCTTTCTTTCCCCTAATTTATCTTTTCTCATTTTTCTTTGCATATTTACAATTATTTCATTCGAACGTCTCATAATTCATTGCGAATCGTAGCTCTTGGCGCTTAGCCGCGTGCGATTTTCTTCGTGACGCTTTCATTGGATTTGTTCGATTTTCTTTTATTCGCAAAATCAAAAAAAGATTGAACTTCTTAATTGCCATTTTCACGCAAACTACTCTGCTAATAGGAACATTTAGCTTCTGGTGTTAAAGTGCCAGCATGAAAATTTAAAATTCGCAATTTCTTTTTTCGTTAATCCGAAATTCAATTCTTTTCACATTCCTTAATGGTTAATTATCGTTATCAGTACGTAATTTAATTCATCTCACGACTGTCAGAATTAAATTAACGTAACTTCGACTGGATTTTAATTAACGAATTTCGTACTTAATTATCCTCGCCGTTCGTAAACGTCATTCCGATATTTTTCATTGAACATTAATTTAGCATCAAATCGATAACAAATAGTCCATTAATATCTCACGAGTCACATTACAAGAGTTACAACAGAGTCGGAATGTCAATTCCAAATTCAAAGTACTCTTTTACGTTATAGCCACAAGTCACAAGAAGATGGTATCCCTAATTAGAATTGATGTAGCTGCTCATGCATAATCGATCAGCCAGATCGGCACTGCTCTAAAAATTTCTACAGACGTCAACTACATTTAATTACAATGACCCATCCACACCGTGAATTTCGTAATTCGATTTCTTCTTTAAAATATTTAACTTAAACTCTGAACGCGTGAATTGACAAACTGTACGATTGCGTAGATATTTCGTATTTCTTAATACAATAATTTTCTTTACTCATTCCTAACATATTGTTACAAGTAAAATACTGCTGTAAGAACGAGGCTCGATTTAACGCGAAAGAGTGCCATTACCAGATACCACTGACATATGAAAATAATTAAATGATTCTATACAATGGCAAAGTTCTATTTTTCAAAAAAGCTATCCAATGAAGTGTTTATGTAAAAAATAAAATGACAAGCATGAAAAGTGCACTCGGTGTTTATAATAATTGTTACACTTAACACGTGCCTCCCATATAGCGATACCGTTTGGTGCACAATTCAAATCCATTTTTTTGTCTAAAAATATTTAATGGCAATCTTAGAAAAAATTTGTGTGACGTTAAATCTATTCCGGTTTAATTTAAGTTTTTTTTTCTTTTTTTTTTCCATATTGTCTTCGATGCGATACACCAATGCAACAAGAGTGGTGTACGATTACGTGAAAATCTTAGAAAAGTCTAACTCGATCGGGGCCGATTAGCCAAACAGTAGGCACGCATCAATATTCATATATAATGATAATACATATTGTGTAACCGTAGCTGAAAAATTTTAATCAATTTTAGTCAATCGGCCAAACATCGAATCGATCACAACTGTATCTAAAATCATTATTACCGCGAGGCACTAATTAACAAAGCGCAGCTTAATGGAGAAAAAAAATTAATATTCGTATCTCTACTAATCACCTTGTTCAGTACGTGTCAGATAATTGATTGAATCTCTTATTCATATTCCACGTACATGCGCGTTACGCTCTGCGCAAAAGAATAGCAACGATATCCCGAATGGGGTGTTAATCCAAAAACAGTGGAGTGGGTACCGTTAATCATTGATAATACATTACGTCAACGTGTAGATGAATAAAAATATTAGACTCCATTTACCATGTACAAAACACAGTGATAAATGGCTGTCGTTTATACAAATGCCAATTCACGTACACAAAGCAGCAGATTATTAAGCAGGAATTAGTACGACCCACTGCGTGTGGGTCAGTAACATATATACATGTACAATGACAATTAAAGACACCGATAAGAAAATTGATTGACAATATAAAAGAAACGCGCAATGAGTCCGCAGGTTGATTTTCAATTAGAAACGCCAATGATCGTTGCTGTATAAAAACTGTATTACTGGCAATCGATAATTCGTCGCACCATACTGAGAGTTGGAATTGAGAAAGAATACTCGGGAATTTCAGTAGTTAAACTTTAAGTACCTGAAGGTAAAGAAAGTGCAATTCTTTACATCATTGAGACATCGTCTAATTACGGGAAAGCTCTTAAAGTTTAAATTGCAAGTAATTTATTGAGAGACGCGAGAAAAAAATGTAAAAAGATAAAAAAAGAAAGTATCCGAGGTGAATAGGAGGCAAGAATGGATGGCGACTAAAGTGGATTTAAAAAAAAAATCCGAAAGAAAATTGCGATAGTGAATTACGCAAGTGCAGAAGCTGGTAAAGAACTGTGCTTTGGTTTCGTTTTGTTGAGGAACACTTTGATGCATCCATTGAAATCGGCGCTGACGAGAACATGGCCGCCGCAGCCTTTTGTACGCTGCTCCACGACCGGATCAACTGGTGCATCGGGTGATGCTGCGTTCCCCAGGTTCTTTGGATCGTCCCTAGCCTCCCATTGCTCTCGTGCTTCAATCTGCTTGATAATGCTATCAGGATTCGGTGCGAATACGGCACAAGTCACAACGGCATTGTGAGCTTTGATACCTTCCCAAAAGTCATTACGATCACGTCGCACACTTGAGAACTTTGAATAATCGTGATGAGTCTTCCATATGTATATACACTGATTTTCAGAACCACTAACTATGTACTGGCCATCTGGACTGAAGCTGGCTTTTATCTGACTACTGACATTCACGTAGCCTTTATACTTGCAGGAAAGATTCAAGTCTCTCAGGTCGTAAAGTCTTATACGACTGTCATTCGAGGTAACTAAAATCTTGTCCTCGCCAGGCATTGGCTCTATTCCACTGATTTTTCTACCGGTTGAATTTTTACCTCTTGTAGAACGTACATGGATCTGAGTATGATACTTCAATTGATCCGTATTGTAAAATATACAACGTCCGTCGTATGAACCGACGACTGCAAATTTTCCATTTTGACAGAAATTAGCAGCTGTTATTAATTTAGTATGGCCGTCCACCTCGTTCCAGACTGCTACCTTCTTGTCGGGGATGTTCCATAATCTGAGTTTGCCGTCTAGAGACCCGGACAGGAAGTAACGATCATCTCGTGGATGAAAGACTATCGCAGTTACAAAATCAATATGTTGAAAACAACACAGACATTCCTTACGGCATATGTGCCAAAGTCGTACTGTTTTATCCATCGATGATGATAGGACAAAGTAATTTTTAGACCAGGAGACATCGAGGAGGTCAGATGTATGTCCTGTGTATGTGCAGAATGGCTTTGGCATAAATGGACTCTTCGTACCTTCGATTTCATTAAACGCACTAGTTATCACATTGGGATCTTCTAGAGATTTTTGCGATACCAGAGACTCTTGTGATGGTGTCGGACTCACTTTTTCTGCATTGTACTTTGTTCGCATGTCCTGGAAATAAGCAAAGGCATCTCGAAGCACCCAAATTCTCAGGACACGATCTTGACCAGCTGTGGCCAGCAGACGACCGCAGGCTGAAAATTTCATACACCAAACTGGCCCAACATGCTCTCCGCTGAGATCTTGCACATGCTGTAGACATGAAAATTCGTAAGGACCCTTGTGACTGTTTGATGCTTTTAGTTTTATATATTGTTGCTCTCCAGGATATACATCGTCTACTATATCCAGTACGTCTTCCTTGTGTCTTGCATGAGATACTTCCTGAGCTATTGATTTTGCCTTGTCCATTGTTTTCTTCACTGTTGAGCCCAGGAATCTCTTGAGCTTTTGTGTCCTTTTGCGAACTCTACCTACAGCTACATCTTCGTCTGGAGGTATACTTGACATTTTACTATCTACACTCTCTTCGTCACTCTCTTTTTCTTTCTCCAAGCTTGAATTGCTTATGTATTCTGATGTCAATCTCATGATGTGTAGAGACAACGGATTAATACATTGCGGTAGCTTGTCTTCTGCTATGCTCAACGGTACTCTCTCACCGGTATCCAAATTTAATACAGTTACTTGCTCCAGGATTTCCTGTAAGGACAAAATTGCTTATTTTTGTATTGCATAAATGCAACAAAATAAATATGTAACAATATAAAAGTGACCTGTTCACTAACCATGTCTGTCAATCGTTTTCCAGAATCTGTTCTTGTTCTCACAAACATGTTTAATTGTTTGACCATATCCTGATCACCAGCAGACTTTCGTCTCTCTTTCGATCCTTGAGTATTGAAACCTGAGAGTCTATGGGGACCTAACGAACATCGACCGATGCTATTAGTGGAAATAGACCCTAGAGGACTGTTCGACATTTCACTAGAGCGCATACTCAAAAGCTCAGACTTCATTCTTTCCACCCTTTCTAATTCTTCAGATGATGGGCCTTCAGCCCTGGATTTATCTTCATCCTAATAGTCACAAATAAATTATGTTATAGTTTACAAATTATAGATAATCGTCTTAGGTAAGAACTGATTGATTTAAAGAACTTCTTACCTGTGGCTTAACAACGTATTGTCCTTTAGTTGCTGATCGTATGTCAAGGGAATGCTCAAATTCTCTAGTAATAGATTCTATAGTACTTGCTGGACTTGGCAGTGACGATGCAGGTACCAATGCCTCTGCCACAGATGGCTGAAATTATGCAAAATACAGTCTTCATGTGCGTTACATATTTTATTTAATTTTATTTAATTTCGTAAGATGCACTTTAACTTCCATTGTTCTAAGAAAACGTTAAAATATCTTACAGCAAGATCGGTAGGTGTTAGCGGTTTCGATTTCTTTTTACGTCGTGGTGGCGCGACCGGCATCCCGGGCTCTGAAGATGCATCTTGCAAATTTTCCACGTGTTTGCAATTGCTCTTAGTGCTGGCGATGACATCAGGTTCTTGGAGGATCACAGTCGCGTTACTTTGCGAGGGACAATTTGATTTCTCATTCGCAGATGATTCCTGAAGAACATCCCCGGATAGGGTAAGGATGCTGGATGACTGGGACATCTTACCCGAGGCAGTGTCTTCGTCTTTGCTTGGAATGCTAGCCATAGAGGACATTGGAGTTTCTCTTGAGAGGGGAGTGGGTGGGGGACATTGGGACACACCTGGTGGAACGATCCCAGATGTATTGTCTGAGACTCCTCCCAAAATACGACCGATACGTCCTAAAGAAGTCATGCTTTGTAAACTAAGAGTATCGTGCTCGATAATTCGGAATGGATGGGATGTTTTTGAGGGCGTAGGATAAACACCCTCTATGGAGGATGTTTGACTATCTGGAGGAGAGCTATTAACTGGAATATCGTCGTCCTCGGTCTGCATTCGTTGACGCAATTCTCGAAATCGTCTCCTACCCACAATTTTGTCAGTGCCTGTAGCTTTTCCATCATCTTCCTAGAATATAAAAGTTTAATTTTTGTTATTGAATTTGTGAGATTCTTGCATTTCAAAAACTGTAATGAACTTAATAGTGTAATTATTGGAGCAGAAATGTGCATACAGATTTATCTGTGCTCTGTTTCCTTTCTGTCTCCACATCATTCTTAGCATCAATAAATGGCTTAGGTTCAGCTGGCTTCACAAATATACTATCATCTGCTTCTTTGCTAGTTTCCACTGCTTTTTCGTCTTGTGTTTCAACAATGATAGAATCTTGTGCTTTGCTTTTTCTGAAAAGAAAAACAGTTGTCACAGTACAAATTATATTATATATATGCCTTCTTTAAGGAATTTCAACTTTTTATGTACTAGACAAGTTTAAATCTTACTACCAGACTATCTTCCCTTATCAATTAATACAGGTTGAGATATGATTAGATTAATAGATAATATAAATCTATTTCAAAACCAAAACAAACGATACAAGCAATGTAGAGAATGTGCTTCTTTCTCGAATATATTTCCCATCATGTCAATCAAAGTATATTATCATGCATCTTCTATTGCATAAACTGACAATCAAACTTGAAACATTTAGTCCTCCAAACTACTGACACAGAATCTAAAGAATCAAAAACACAGATCTCAAATGACATTTTTTATTTGTATGATCACTGTAGAATCATGAAGATTACAAGAATATCTATGAGTAATACATCATTAAGGCCATACTAAAAAATCAAGCTTCAAAACAGCGAGGTATCCAAGTAATGAGTAGAAAAAGTTTGCAGTATTCGTATTGAAGAGAAAATAAGACTCCTAACAAGTAATAGAAGTTTGACAAGAACTTTGTGAAATTGTCAGCTCTATATAAAAATCGGCGGTCTGCTTGATTAAGGCAGTAAGCTAGTTGGGGACGTTGAAAGCAATGACGAGCCAAGGAAATTACCGAGAGGCGCGGTGGAAGGTGTCGTCTTCTGCGTCGAAGAATTCCTCTGAATCGCTGCTTCCAGACATTGTTGTTCGCATATGGCGATCGGTGCTGGTACGCTCGTAAGCATCGGAACTGTCAGTTCGTGCGTCGCGGTATCGCGAGGAACATGGACAGGCAGAAGAAGCAGAGACACGAGCACGGACGGCACGGAGTCATGATCCGTCGAACGATGACAGTGCGACGGTTACGCAGCGTTGCCAGATAATGGGGGTACTGCGTCCCAGTCTTGACACGCATGCGTGTGAAATACTCCAGAAAATCCCACGCGCGAGATCTTCTGTTCTGTTTGAACCGAAGAAATTGAACGCTGTAAATTCTAGGGAGTACAACATTTCTAAAGTACCTTTAGCTATCAGACATTTGTGTAATATATCTGTAGCATTTGCTGCGACAAAAGGCCAAATTTGTAGTCAAGGAAAATCTATTGGTTGAAAGCTCGATTTATTCACGTCCAAAAATCTTTCTATCAGCTTAATGTTGGGTCTTCTCAGCAATGTGGTATTCTTGGTATATACTTTTGAGTCCCTACGGCGCTCTTTTTTTTATATTCGTCCCCAGTTTCATGAAATAATGCGACGAGTTGTACATGACGATTGGAAATGGTCATGACATCTCCATCACTCTGTCAGTATCCACATTTACTTATGTTTTATTTAATTTCTAGAGAATGATCGAAAAATCGGGTTTTAAAGGGACCGAGATTTCATCAAAAGGCTTCAATTAAATCAAATACATTTAGTAGCTGTGCTTTCTTTGCTTCGATATTTTGGTGCAAAATTTTCTCGCTTCAAACCCTTGTTCATCTGAACACTCACAGGCCCATATACTTGGGTTGTTGCGTGTCGTTGCTGTATGGTGGCAGCATCGGCAGCGCAGAACCAAAGAAAAACCAATGGGCGAGTGGCGTCACGAGCGAAAAGACTGCGATTGGCAGAACTTTGCGCTCGTAGCCTCGAACTTGCGCCGCTCGCCAGCATGCCTGCCGCAAAGGAGCCGAGCCGTCACACAAAAGCAAGATGGAGGATCTCGCAGTCGAAGTATGCGGCGAAAACGGAGCATATTATAAGGTTCGTTATGTGAAAAGTATACGAAAATATGGGGAGAATACGAAACACGTGGATGACCTGATCCCTGGGGCACGACGCAGTTATAACTCGACGTCTTGGAGCCTCGTACTTTGCGAAAGCGCGCTCCTCAAACGTTCTCGAGGTAACGCGGCTTCCTCCGACGCCATGTCTCGTTTGACAGGGCGTGAATTTACTCTGCATATCACCACTTGAATTTCATGGCTTTTTCTCATGTCTTGAGAATTTTTTGATTTTTATCATGCTATCGAGGTTCGCCTGCCGGGTTCACTGTTATCCTCGGCGTGCATGGTCCGATATCGGAGTGTGCCGTGTCACCCTCGAGTCCACAATCATGGATCAGAGGACGTATACGTTTAATCTATCGTTAATTACAGGCCTTTGTCACCGATGTCTTTGAGGATGAAGTATTGGTCGCCTTCGAAAATGAGTAAGTTGCTTACTTTTTACCTTCTGTGCTTGTTGAGCTTTTGCTCTTGATTAGTTTTTCTTGGGTGCATTCTAAACAATTGATTCACTCTGTTTATGCATTATGACGTCGTTACAACGATACAGCATCGTTGTGACACGTTATTCGATAATTCACGTTTTGATTGAAGATGCTCCAAAAAAACATTTGTAATGGATATTTGCTTTCGTGCATTGTATAGATAATTACTGTACAACATTTTACACCAAGCTTATTGTCAATTTTATTTCAATGAATTTTTTATATAAATTTTCCAGGACTTATCGTTGCTGCTATTATATAGAACTTTCCAATTATGCAATTATTAGTCTTGAGGACAATTCAGTCAGATTGGAATAACTTTCTTTATCGATATATAAGTCTTTGTTATAGAAGCTTTGATTATGCATGTTTTCAAAATTTATATTTTTTCATTAGTTCAATTTATAAATAAATTTCAAAATGACATAAGGAACTGTATTATGCATAGTTTTATTTTTATCACTTATATGGTTTTAAAAATATATTTAAAAGTAGAAGTGTGTACACACATTGTTGCAAATTATTGTAACCATTTTTTCTTGCTGTCTGTGCACATAGTTAAAACAATGATTTTGCAAACAGTTAATTTGTCATTAAAAATATGATTTTAATTCTAGACAAATGTCTGGTTTTAAAGAGTCTATTACCTTTTTTTATTCTTGTCATCTATCAATGTGTTTATTATTTGCTAATTTAGGGTTAACGACACATTTATTTTGATTGTTTGAAATATCAGTAGTATATTAGTCTCACATAGCATTTAACATTGCTGTTATGACTAAACCAGAAGCTTTTGCAACTTATTGGGGTGAGGCTATGCTGATCAGTAGAGGAATACTCATAAATTTTTGTGTAATAAGATTGATCCTTATAATGCTGAATAAGTACTACCACTAAATGAAATAATATATGAAACTTTCTTACCTTGATTTGTGATTGAAAATGGAAAATATGAGATACTGAGGTGATTTTAGTTAATAAAAATTTGAATCGCAGTGTATTAAACAAAAGTATCGTGTGACATTGTTAGTATTAAGGGGATGAATTTGGTAGATAGTGGTGTCCAGGAAAGTATTACTATTAGGTGATTTCTAGAAATTTCTGGGAAAAGGATATGTATGAGTTCAAATGATATTGGTAATTGGTGTAAGTTTGGTGGGTTTTGCTATTGCAGGGATGGTATGAATGGTACACTTGGGTCTTCCAGATTGCTCAAGATCATAATCTCTTTGGGAATGAAGTAAAGAGCTCATTGAGGTTTTCAGGGAAAGCAATAAAATTAAAAATTCTAATGCCCGATGCATATGTGCATATTTCAGGAGTATCTCTGTTTGTCTGAAATAGTTATTCATTTCATATTTAATTATGTCCTGTGAATGTAGGACCTAATATTTCACGTGGTCGTTACGTTGCATAAAATGATGTTTACACAGTTATGATACTGTGACAAAACAGTGATATCGTATTATGATTCAGAATTTATTCAGTATATATATAAATTACCAGTTCTCTCACCCAGTAACAATATGTCATTTTTAGCTGGCAACCTGAATCGAAATTTCCGTTTGCTCAAGTTCGTCTACCTCCCAAAGACGGCCCCAAAGCAGAGTTTACAGAGAGCCAAGAAATTGAAGTGTTCTCCCGAGCCAATGACCAAGAGGCATGTGGATGGTGGAGAGCTATTATTAAGGTTCAAAAACTTTTTTACTTAAAACAATTTCTCATTATCAGAAGCCTTTCCTGTAGTACAAGTAAAGTTTGGATATAAAAATAATTATAATTTATAGATGATGAAGGGAGGCTTCCAAGTCGTGGAATACTTGGGATGGGATTATACGTATACAGAAATTGTAGGAAGTGAACGACTGAGGGCAAAAAATCCAAATCCTCCAATCGACAAGAATACGTTTCACAAGATCGAAATTGAAGTACCTGAAGATTTGCGCGAATTGTAAGTATAGTATATTTAATGTCAAGCTCTAGAAACGGCAAAAAGTGATCAGTACGAATTCAAAGTTCTGTATTTATCAAGCACTTAAAAAAACTTGTAATGTGTCGCAGTGCAAAAATGGACAATGCACATAAGGAATTTCAAAAGGCAATAGGAGCGGCAGTGTGCCGATATGTGCCTGAACGAGGAGTACTGCTGGCCATCTCCCGTCGCGAAAATACACGTCGTCACAGTAACATGCTCCAGGAGATGCACTTCCGCAACTTTTCGCAAAAGGTACAATCCTCAATCAAAAGTGCATATTGACTGCGCTCGTCTTGCCTTTGAGCAATGGACCTGGAGCTATATTGATACGCCCTGTATTATTTTAACAGGTTCTACTGCTGAAAAGGACAGAAGAAGCAGCACGCCAGCTCGAATCAACCAAACTTCAAACGATCGGAGGGTAAGTTATTTGGTAAATTTATAATATTCCGTCTCTGGTCAATGCTGTTTTCGATGTCCGTTTTTTCACCTGCCCTCGTCCAAACACTATCCGGTATTCCCATCCTGTCTGTGGTTTGCATTTACTGGCAGAGGTGAAAGATATTCCATGAAATTCACAGTCGCTAAATGTTCAGCAAAATGCATCAATCATCTGAGACTGTTAATCAAATTTCTCTGTATGCAGAGTTGTTATCTAACTTTTAACACTTATGCCTTCATCAGTACATTCTCATTTCACGTCTTAAACACCTAGGAAACAAAAGTACGACAATGTGCTACTTGTAAGTTTTGGCCTTTGAGAAAACATAATATCTATTTCCTATTTACGTACATTGTTTCTTCCCTAGTTCCCTTTTCGTCATTATCTCCATTCGCTTTTTCTTTGTAATCAGTACTTTTATGAAAATTGAAACGTCACGTACATCCGCAGATATAGTCTTTGTTCTTTATCTTTAAACTAACGCATTTATAGAAGATTCTACAGTTAATATATTTCATGTAAGATAAAAAAATATTTTTTACTTCATGACGTGTGACTTTCATATTGGAACTATCACTATACAGTATAAAGTTGCGTTTTATTTATTACACAGTTGAAATCTGCGTACTTTGCAGTTATACCCGAAAACTTTAGAAAATGATGAAAGTCTCTGCAAGAAGAAAAGTTCTGTGATTATTAATCTCTATAAAATAATAATCATCTTTCTAACTGCTCATTTTCAGTAATTAATGAAAAAATCTAGTAGTTGCACATAGCATATTAAAAATATCTAATATATTTTCCGTCACTGCATCCTCCGAATAGTTTATCATAAATAATCGTATGGTAATCTGTTATCGCATAATTGATTTAAAAAATTGTAGTAGTAACAATAATTGCCCGTCTTCTTAAATCTGATGGTTATCAGTATGCTGCATCTTGCAATTGTACAGAAAGTGCCTCAACGTTCCGACACTAACCTGTAGTTAGCTTGATTATATTAATTGCCCTTAATGAAAGAAAAAAAATAATAAATAAAAGATCTCTACACCGGAATCGGTTTTCCCAAGAAGAATAATAACTATAGGAACATTAAATCTTTCATCTTAATTATTCATTTATCATTATAATAAGGTACAAGTGGTTAATGAGTCAGTGTTGTATATTCGTAACATTACCAGCAGCTTATTAGACTTAATTAATGGAATCAATTCATTTAATGAATTTTCAAAAATTCATGAAACTCATAAAAATCGTACTTTTTGTCACTCATGATTTCATATAAAAAAAAAAATATATACGAAATATATCTCAGTATTCACAATCACAAATCATCTTGAGAAACTAAACAATAAACACACAGAACACGTTGATCACAAATCTCTGTTCTTCCACACAGTCATTATCAGGCACAAGAATTCAGGATAGAAAATACACTGCGGCCACTTAGCTGTCAATCAAAGTATTATATAACGACATTCGGTCGCTTAACTTTGCGCAGATTATACGCTAAGACAAATTTTCTCGAAAAGAGAGAAAAATCTACACGAGGAGGAGCCAAAAGAAATAATTTAAAAAAAAAAAGGAAAAAGGAATGACAAGGAAGTAGGATAGGGCCATCCTTATAATTTGTTTCCGTCGAGTTACATCGGGGTTTCTTTCTCATTTCAGCAAATTTAGATCTTCAAACTTTATATATCAGCGTGTCTCAGACTTTGAGGCAGGAATGAGAACAAATTTAAGGTGAGATCACAGCAGCGTGGTTCTAGATATAAGTTAGCTTACTGTATGACAAATTACACCGCTGCATATTAATATATATACATATATTTATATATGCATATATATATTTTCTTTCTTTTTTTAATGAAAGATCATATTACACCATTGATGTGCATGCAACGGCGTTGTGTAGTTCAGTCACTGATACGGTATGCTTAATTTACACACATCACACAAACAGGTTGTATTTTCCATCGTTTAGTATTTGCTCTGTCGTATGTACCTGAGTGGATGATGAAATAGTATGCTGTGAGCGGAGATCAATTACTATCTGTACACTTCAGTAGTATGTTCTGGGCGTTCTACGTTTATAGTTTTACATATTATTTTTACCCTTTCTCTTTTTCCTTAAATATTTTTTCTTTGTCTGGCTTAAAATTCTGTCCTTTTGTTTTCTCCGCAAGATGCCAGGAGGTTTACTTGTCAACGTATTGAGAAACACTGATATATTTTATAAACGCATCTTTCCAAGACAAGGTACTGGCTCTATCCTTCGTCCGGTTGATTACGCATATTTACAGTTATATTTTAATGTTTTAGGCACATGCATTCGGCTTAGCATTGCGTTAGTAATGTTTATTATGGATTGGAACTTTTTTATAAATTTATGAATAATTTTGAAATTTATTATAAGTATTTTCTGGGTACTCGATTGTCTTTGTTGTACAATCATTTGTAACACTGTTTCGCTGTTTTTGAGGGTTAGTTGACAATAAGGATGACGATGATGGAAAGAATATTATTTGGGAACGAGTTGATAGATTTATGTGAGTCTTAGGGCATTCATTAGGAAGTACTGAGACAGTTATTTTTTATTGATAAGATAGTGAAAATTTATGTAGGCATTTGACGCGGCTTTTGTCTTCTTATCATCTGTACGAGGATTCTTGGATCCTGGAAGGAAGATATGTTGTAGAAAATCATTGGCATTCCTTGGACTGTTATGACAAGTGTTACGTGTGTAATGATACATCCCCATTATCTTTGTATCTGCCACAATGCAAACCACAATCAATTAACAATCCTTGTATGTTGAAACTATGTTTTTAATAAGGCATTGTTCGCTGCTCTAAAGTTTCTCAATAGTCTTGATTCGATGAAGTTACATGACTAGTCATTTGAAACTTTAGGGCAATATAGCGACAATTGGTACAATATATTGAATTATTTTTATTTTTTATACTAAGCTATTTACGGTTTAGCTATTTTCTTTGTGACACGACAAAAGCCATTGATTACACTGATATAAAATACTTTTATACAAAACTAAGATATATGACTATTCTTGTTTGTTTAATAGAACTGAATCCTATATTTTTGTATCTATATGGAATATAATTATTTGTAATATTATTACAGCAATCATATTATGCTTGCGGTGAATGTTTTCATTGAAATTGGACACTAGGAGCAAGTTGCAATGGCTTCCTAAAATTTATTGCTTTTATCTTCTCGCAACAATAGCTATTTGATCTTCTAATTTCTACTCGTATGCCTATAATGCATGGATGATGTACATTTTGTTTTATATTTGCTTATTAAGAAAGTCGAATGTTACCATATAATTATAAAAGAATAGTGCACATGTTATATGTTAGAGGCATGAGATTAATACATTTTTATTACTTTTGCCATTGTCACATAAAGTCCTATAAATCTTATAAAAATTTTAAACATTAACTTTTTAAAATATTAACTGTACTATGCATATATCAAAGTGCGTAACTATTTAAAGAATATTCATAAGAATAATCTGTATGTCCTGCCAATTATTTATACAAATAACAATGTCACTTTTTCTAATCCATAATTCTATAATAGCTTCACCTGTTCAAATTGACATGTGGCTTCTGCTTTTTCACGTTAACTCTTTCCATGCAGAATTAATGTCAGCTTTTGTTCCTACTGACTTCATGCGTGCAGAATATACAATATCCTTCCATATTTCTCCAAAAGCTCCAATTCACCATATCACATCATAATGAAATGGGCATAAATTAAAACAATTAACGTGTGATCATCTTTCATCTCATCCTTATTTCTGGTTACATATATTTTATAATGAAATCTCAATGTTTTTTATAATTAAAAATCTGCATTATCTTGCAACATTTAGGACGCAATACTCTCATTATTTTAACGTAATTGTAAATTTCCCATTATAAAACCATCTGCTATGACGATTAACGATAAACGATTAAACATACAATGCCAAAAAGTGCGCCAAGGACATCAGAATCTATTATTTAATTATGTTGGGAATGAAGTGGCATGTTGAAATGTAAAAATTAAATTAGAACATAATTTTTTTTGTTTAGATACACGGACGAATTTAATGTTCGGGAAGACCTCATGGGACTGGCCATTGGCGCTCACGGTGCGAATATACAGCAGGCGAGAAAAGTTGAAGGAATCACTAATATAGAATTAGAGGAAAATTCTTGTACGTTCAAGATATACGGTGAGGTAAGACATTTAGATTTATCTTTCATCGCAGCCTCCAAGATGTACAATCAAGGTCGTTCTTGCAGATAAAATAAATTATTGGAACAAGTTACGACCTTCATTTTATTAATTTTTGTTCTCCATTCGTTTACCGTACTGTTAGTACGTTTTTCGATCGCTGGAGCTATTAACGATTTCGCAGAGAATATTCCCTTATGTAATTTTCGTTGCAGACTCACGAAGCCGTGAAGAAAGCCCGTTCTATGCTGGAGTACAGTGAAGAGTCTATACAAGTGCCACGCGTCCTTGTAGGGAAAGTAATTGGAAAAAATGGTCGCATTATACAAGAAATTGTCGACAAAAGTGGTGTGGTAAGTAATATCATTGAAAATTGTTTCTTTAAAACCATGAGTTTGATTTTGACTCCGTCTTGCAGTAAGCTTTGAAAGTTAACATGATGCATAACATATTACAGTCGTACAGTGATAACAGTAAATTGAAAACTGTAACTTTATTTTTCCATGATATATTAAATAAGTTTTTACCATACGCTTTAACTCATTATACGCCCACTGCAAGTCGTGAAAGAGATTTACGAACTGGCATACTATAAAGTTAATTTTCATTTTCAGTTGACTTTACCGCTTCTGCTAAATTCCGCTAGATTCCTCAGCCGTAATTCAATATTCAATCTGAAATCTTATCCTTCAAGTTTCTCGTACTGTTGAATCTGCGGAAAATTGTGCGAAACACATTTCTTTTTCTATTTTTTTTTGTCTCTCTTCCTCTTTTCAGGGCACAGTACAATTGTTTTCTTGCGAATTTTTGTAAAGTGCATATTGCTGTGCCACGCTCTCAGTGTCTCTGGTTATAATTCTACTCTTGTATTTATTTTTTTCTTAATTAATCAATTGCAATTAGCAGAGACGTAAAGTTTGTCTTTCACTTATCTAACGACATTTACCATTCCTCCATTGTTAAATTCTTTTTGACAGAAAAAAGAAAGAAAACAAATGAAAGCTAATGTCGTTCCGAACAATTGAAAATGGAAGTTATAACTTATAGGGGGTTATGTTATGTGTGATATACTTGCATTGTTTGTTCTCGGTAGATAACATCTGGCTCGAGTGGGAATGTACATACTGATAGAGTAAGTATATTACCTTATACTGTTTGTGCCTTTATTTCATCTCTATTCCATCCAATTAAAGTTTCTGAATACGAGATAGATCATATGTGAATATTACATGAACCACTCGGGCCAGTTTTGTACTTTTTATGAAAAGAAAAAGATATAATTAGTAATTTAAAAACAAAAAAGCAACCGTATTCTTTTCGTCACTCGTTACAATTTTTAATTGCGTGACAAGAAGATGGACTAATTATTTAATAAACTGATTCCAGCTGTATGTGGCGTGTTCAAGCAATTCGTATATCACACACAACGATATTTTCGATAATCGAGCGTTATCTCTTCTTCGTAGACGATTATTATTCATCACGTATGACCTATACAACAAAAAGAAAAATTGTTGCAAAACTAATATTTAATGATCATCTTAGTTTATCTTCCTGTCTTTTTTTTTTAAATCTACCTCCTATTTTATTTCCTATCGAAGATTCATTACCGATTAAGGACACTCGTGATACTTTTAATAATTTAGAAATTGTCCGACCTCGAGGTACCGGTGATACGTCGTAAAGGATATATTTTGTATTGAACATAAATTTATCAAGTCAATTTTCGATTGCTCGATGGTCTATGCAAAATTCACTTAAATTGTTAATCGTAATGTAACATCGATGATTTATTATTAATTGTTACTTCATGTAAGATTAATTAGAATCAAAATTGCGCGATACTCATCTATACACTTAACGTGTACCTCTGCACGTTTTTTTTTTCTTCTTTTTTTTCCATTATCTGCATACTCTTCCTATCCTGAAAACTTAAAGCCCTGAGGATTTCGATAGCGGCACTTCAGATCTTCGACGCTAAGCTATTATCAAATTGATACGAAATGTCGAGAGAACCAAGACGAACCAATTATTCACTTATTATTTCACAATGAAAGTGTAGTTATAAATTGTGAGGTTTTTTTATTCAACAGTTTCGAAATGACGCTCATCAACAGTTAAAAGTGTGTGAAATCTGCCGCTCTCATCGAAACTCCGTGCAATTTTGGTACAGAGTGTATAAATGTTATCGTTATCACGAATTTCTCGCTTAAAGCACTTTCCCTTTACATGCGGGCGAGCACACATTTTACAGACCTTAGGCAGCTGCATATTAATCGTTTATCCTAACAACGTATATCGTTATCGCTGCTTAATACGCTTTTCTACTATATACAATAATGTAGTTATAAATTGTGAGGTTTTTTTATTCAACAGTTTCGAAATGACGCTCATCAACAGTTAAAAGTGTGTGAAATCTGCCGCTCTCATCGAAACTCCGTGCAATTTTGGTACAGAGTGTATAAATGTTATCGTTATCACGAATTTCTCGCTTAAAGCACTTTCCCTTTACATGCGGGCGAGCACACATTTTACAGACCTTAGGCAGCTGCATATTAATCGTTTATCCTAACAACGTATATCGTTATCGCTGCTTAATACGCTTTTCTACTATATTATATATATATATATATATATATATATATATATATAGTATACGCCTAAAGCAAGTACTTTGCTGATGCCAATAAACAATAATTCATTCACTTTCTAATGACATCTGCACCTGTCTACCGTAACAGGAATACTAAGGCCAATTGATACTGATAAAACACCGAATATTTTATTGCAGTGAGGGCAGTATAGTTACTAGTTCCAAAGCCATCTAATATAAGTATCATCGAATTGAATGCAGCATATAACACTAGATCGTCTGTGTGATATCAAGTATCGTTTGCATTACTGTATTTCAGGTGCGAGTTAAAATCGAAGGAGACAATGAACCTCAACCGACACTCCCACGGGAAGAGGGACAGGTACCCTTTGTATTCGTTGGCACGGTCGAGAGCATTGCCAATGCAAAAGTTTTACTGGAGTATCACTTGGCTCATCTTAAGGTAAAATTTGTAATATCCTTGTTGAAATCTCTTTTAAATAAATCAAATAATATAGGCAAGCTTTTTAATAATTGAATGAACTTTCATACACAGGAAGTCGAGCAGCTTCGGCAGGAGAAACTTGAAATAGATCAACAATTACGAAGCATGCATGGATCGACTACCGGACCAATGCCGAGTTTTCCACCTACAAGACGAGGCATGGCTTCAGGACCTGAAGAAGGTGGTAGTGGTGGACGTGGTGGTCGTGGTGGCCAATCTAGAGGACGTGGAAGGGGCAGGGCTCCCACAAGACACAATGCCGGTAATACTATCACTGATTACATCAACAACGTAGAGAACAATCATAAGCGAGGTGGTAGAGGTGCTGGACATCCTAATAGACCTCTTCGAGATACTAGAGATATTCGGGAGAGAGGTCGCTTAGGTGCAAAGTAGTAACTATTATTTATATTGTACCTTGATATTATATTACCGTATTTTATCGTTGAGTTTATAATTCTTGCCGCGACATCCTGCTTCTCCGAGGATGTGGTTACTCATCGTTTATCTTATCCTGTGTTTCGTTACGCGTCAATCGACAACGACGGTCATCACGATGATTGAAGGAATGCACATATTGATCTAGAGGAACCGCGTTTCTTTTTGTAGTATTCAACTTACCGAATATTCCTTGTTACCATTACTGTCCTTACGTCTCGCGCAATAGCAATAATTTCGAGTTGCAGGTTTTTTGTTCTTCGAGAGATCGTGAAATTATTGGAATTTTGTTTGCGTTTTTTTTTTTTTTTTTTTTTTTTTTTTTTTTTTTTTTTTTTTTTTTTTTTTTT